ACATACATGCACAAACACACACACACAGTAAATACATACATGCACAAACACACACACACATACAGTACATACAGTATAAATGTTCTTTTACTCTCACTAAATACAGTTGTGTGTAACTTGACTGTAGTTTTCAGCTGTACAGTGCTCACCAAGATCAGATTTTTTGCTTTGAAAACACAGAGAGTAAACTGTCACAATGAAAACGTGACGAAGTCATTTGACTGTGTTGTTCATACTCCATGTTGTTAAGACTTATTATTTTGAGACACAGTTTCCTCGACATGAAGACTTGCTTTTGAGGAATAAACTTTTCATTTTGAGAAGGTGATGCACTTTTGCAGGTTATCCCCAAGGTTTTGCAGTTTGTACTAATTGTTCTGATAAATGCACTAACTGTCGTGCAAATGTGAAGAATTATGTGATAAATGCACCAAAGACACTGAGAAAAACTGTAAGTAGCATATTTATTTTGTAAACAATGTAAATTTATACATTGAATGACGTTGCTCGTTTGTTTTCTTTCAATTCACTTTATTATTTTCATTATTATTTTTTAACTAAAGTCAGCATGACACTAGATTTAACTCATTTTAACTAATCAGATCCTCCCTCTCCCGAAGAAGACAAAGTAAAGTGGTTGAGCAACTTCAGCTCAGCCTGTGATAATGGCCTTATTTACATAACAAAGTTGGCCGTTCACAGGTGATTTAGTTTGTTAGCTAAAATCCTTGGAGTCAATTGGCACCGTGGTGGGATTTTTAGGTAGAAGTGCCAAATGGCACCTCCATGGGTTTGCTAGTGTTGCTGCTTTCAATATCTTTTCAAATCTGTTTTCCTTTTCTCCATAGCATGTCTGTAACAAAAGTTCTCATAATCTGAAGTCAGCGTATTTACATGGTTTTATGAAACAGAATTCTGAGAAAAACAGGTTTAAAGATCGACATTCCAAACATAATCATCACAGTCATATAACATGTAAATTTTGAATTACTCTGTTATGGCACACTTGTCTTAGTCACTATGTTGTAGAAGATTAAAAAGATGTTACTTTGGCACCAATTAAATACACAACACTCATGAATTAGTCGAAAATCAAGAATGTATTGATTCTTTCAATATTCAATGGATTGAATTTTGACCTCCTCTTCTTTTTCTTTCTCTTTATAATTTACTGAAAATTAGATATGTATTAGACATTGCCAGTATTATTCTATCAAATCACGCAGTCTAAATATCCACAACCACCAAGCATTTTTAATGCAAGGAGAAACTTAGGTGACTTTAAACACAAAACAAATGGACCTGTCCGACTCGAGTGTCTATGCTTCGTGTGTCTCTGGTTCTGTCCAGGTGTCTATGATCCGCGTGTCTCGCGTGTCTCCGCCTGTCTGGGTTCTGTCGGCGTATATGTAAATGTAAATGTCTGTCTGTGGTTCTGTTCGGGTGTCTGGCAGAGCTAAAGCGGACTTAGCCTGCCACCTTGTGGCGATAAGATGTACTATTTTTCACGCAGCTGCGTGATTCCCGAGAAGCGTGAATGAAGACGACAAAACGGAATGGGACCTACTGTACAGGTATTAGCGTTAACTGGTCCTTGAGCTCCAACATAACCAACCTTTTGCTGAGGTTTTTGGGAGGAAACCCCCGGAACTGGTGACTTGAGCTTTAGACTAGACTCACTTTCATTATACCTGTCCCTGTGCCATTCAAAATTACGTTTATGGGTCAACACATATTCATCCGCCAGGATCGCTGCTTCACTGGGAGACTTTACCTTACGTTCATTAATGTATGTAGCAACATAATTCGGTACAGAATTTTTGACCTGCTCCAACACAATTAAATTAGACAAATCCTGTAAAGTAACCAACTCAGAAGCTGTAGACCATCGATTAAAGGCATTTGACAAATCTCTTACAAACTCTGAATAAATCTGTGAATCCTGTTTCTTTCTGTAACGAAAACGTTGACGATAAGCTTCCGGAACAAGCTCATAGGCTTTGAGAACGGCTGCTTTAACAGTAGCATAAACTTTGCTATCTGCTACACTCAGTGCTGAAAAAACGTCCAACGCTTTCCCTGTAAGTACACACTGTAACAAGGTAGTCCTGTCCACATTTGACCAGGCCCTAGCATCCGCAATGCGCTCAAATAAAATAATGTATCTGGATCCGACTCATTAAATTTAGGTAGTAACCGAAGATTTTGTGAAACATCAAACTGAGGTTCCCTTTCAACCACCGGTCTATTGCCACTTCTCCTCCTTTCAAGCTCTAGCTGCATTTGTAACAGCTCCCTCTCCTGCTCAAAAGTTAACATAATTTGACTAGGCTGTAAAGCTGCTCCCGGACTGGCAACAGACGGAAAAAAAACACCAGCTTCCAAAAGACCTTGTTTTAATGAATCCCTAACAGTTTCCTTTAACTTTCTATCAACAATACAAATTTTGTAATGCTCTGCAATCTCCAATAACTGTTCTTTTGTGCACAATTCCAAAGCCAACTCCGAAGGTGACTGAACAAAACTAGCTAAAAAGAAGGACATCCAAACAAAAAGACCAACCAAATTAACTAGACAAATTGCAAACACACCTGCTGCCCCAACTGGGTTAATGGTAGAGAGATCCACCCTACTAAACTCAGTAAAGCTATCTAACTGGCCCCTAGTCTTCGTGCAGTCTGGCGGGAGGTTTTTAATCACCAGTGACTCTAAAAGCCACTGTACCAATGGGGCTGTAGGCTTCCTGCATACGCAGCCACCCACAGGATCCCACGGATGTGAACCCGAGCCGACGAAAAGGGAGAGGGGATTGGGAAGCTCTACCCACCTCGCTGCCGCCTACACAAACACCACGAGCCACCTATTGTAACTCGCTGATAAACCTATCAGGGGAGGACTCTCACCAGACAGAACCCAGCATAGGCCCAAATGTGAGCTGCAAACCAAAGTAGCACAAAAGAACACTACTCAACCCCCCTAATTGACCCAAAACTTTCCCCACACAACAGTCTAACAAAACAAAGTAACCTACTTACTTTAACCAAAGTACAAGTTAGGACAAACCAATTTGTCAAACTACAAATGCAAAAATAGTCAACAAATCAACAAACTTTGATACAGAAACTAAACACACAACTTAAGTGCCAATGTAACTCAACTACTTAAGTACAGCTAACTCTAAATTAGACGAAGCCCCCACGTGTAACAAACCTGGCTCAAGGGCCTGCTACAACACCAAACTACTGTGTGGGGAACATAACACAAAGAGGGCGGGCCATTTAAGAGGTTTTATTTTAACAAACAATAATAAGAAACAAATGTGCAACATACCAAAAGGTGTGCATCAGTGTGAGAGTCAGTGGTGTGTGCAGTGTATGAATGCGAGTGACTGTATGAGTGCGAAAGTGTGGTGTGTACAAAACAAATGAACTCAGAACCAAACGGGAACAAAACCAAAGGGATTACCTGGGGAGGAGAGCAGAGAGAGACATTAGTGTGAGCAGAGCATTTAACATCTACTCAGGTGCCTTCCATCAGACGGCCCCACCCCTGCCTGCCATGAGGAGCCTCCCACAACAGGCAGGGGAGGGCCGTGACAGTATCAAGTGACAACTACATGAGAGCAGCAGAGATTCTGCTGCGAGCAGCTTCGAACAGGGAATTTCCACAGTAGGCGTTAACAGCGCGTCAAGCCTAAGTTATACTTGCGCGGCGCGGCTTACGTTAGTGGTTGCGGTGGACCTACGTAAGCACTCTTGGTGTGTTACTTGCGCGTTAACCCCCATAGACCCCCCCTTGCTGAATTCCTAAAAGATGTTGTAATCCCACCCCCTATCCACACGGTGGCCATCTCACAAGATTTGCCTGGGTCCCACTATAAAGTTCCGCTAGCTACTTCCTCCTCTTCAAAACAACTATGGCGACCAGACAAGTTGTGCTACTGCGAGAGCTGTTGTAGATCGATGAAGAAATGCTTCGAATCGCCTACAATATGTATTTCAGGCGTACGCGCCGCAGACGTAGATGGTATGTGCGACCGCTGAATGTGCCCCGGCCAATCAGTGGGGAGTGCACCAGTCTGATTCAGCCGCTTCGAGACATGGACGAACAGATGCATTTTACCTACTTCAGGATGTCTGCAAGCAAGTTCGATGATTTGGCACATAGACTGAGACCCCATATTCGCCACCAGAACACTCACAAGTATCCGATTACCTTGCACGAACGATTGGCTGTGACTCTGAGGTTCTTGGCTAGTGGAAGCAGCCAGCAGGCATTGTCTGCTAGTTACAGGATGGCTAGCTCCACAGCCTCCAGGATTGTGACTGAGACATGCGAGGCATTGTGGAAGGCACTACAGGAAGATTTTCTGCCATCTCCGACTGTAGCCCAGTGGCAGACTGTCGCTGCCGATTTTTGGAGGCTTTGGAACTTCCCTAATTGTTTCGGTAGTTTGGATGGCAAACATGTGAATATTCGTGCCCCCCCGCGTGCTGGAAGCAACTACTTCAATTACAAGGGAAGCCATTCCATTGTCCTGATGGCCACGTGCGACGCGAGGTACAGGTTCACCACAGTGGATGTTGGAGCATATGGTCGGGAGAGTGACGGGGGAGTATTCAGGGAGAGCGTCTTCGGATCCATGCTGCTGAACCACGAGGCCAACCTCCCCCCGCCAGCTCTTCTTCCTGGGACAACAGTCCAGTTGCCCCACGTCCTCGTCGGTGATGCTGCCTTCCCTCTCCACAACAATCTGATGCGGCCATACCCTGGTACGTTCTTATCATTTGCATGTGTTGTATGTTCTGCTTCTTAAATGGTATGTTGCCTAAGTAGTGCTTAAAGTTAATTTATGTGAGGTTTGTATTGGAAATAATAACCATTACATGTATTGATAACTGTCGTATGTAATTGTAGGGGCAGCCCTATCTGAGGAGAAGAAGGTATTCAACTACCGCTTGTCCAGAGCCAGGAGGATCATTGAGAACACGTTTGGGATTATGGTGGCGAGATGGCAAATCCTTGGACGGCCCCTCGAAGCCCTTCCAGAGAAAGCCACAACAATTGTGAAGGCCTGTGTGGTGCTACACAACTACCTCACCTACACTGATGAGGGCAACACTGAACCCTGCCGCTACATAACGCCCTCATTTGTTGATGTGGACACAGTGGGACAGCTACAAGAGGGTGAGTGGCGAAGAGTCACTGCAGGAAGCAACGGCCTGGAGAACCTCGCCCCCCCATCAGCTAACCCGTGCACGGTCCACACGGGCAGCCAGGGCTGTGCGATCAGATCTCACCGCCTTTTTCACTTCTGACATTGGAATGGTGCCATGGCAGTACGACATCGTACGGCGAGGACTGCTCAATCCTGTAGAGCAGCCATTCCCAAACTCAGTAACACTGAGGCCCCCTTAAAAATCTGACGGGTCTGCGTGGCCCCCCAAAATAATAACCAAGAAGACAACATTAAGAATAGGCTCTTCTGGTTATTTTATTTTGGGGAAATAGCCTCTGCTACAAACATTGTAATACAAAAATGATTACAGTGGATTATTCAAGTCAAATAATGAACACAAATATTTTAATATTACAAACAAAACATTATAAATTTAACATTAAATAATTATATTATTTTTTTTTATGACCTCCCGCGGCCCCCCTGCAGTACCCTCGCGGCCCACCAGGGGGCCGCGGACCCCACTTTGGGAGACACTGCTGTAGAGCATTAGCATGTATTTGCTCATCCCCACATGGACCAATCGATTGTGTTTGATTTTCATATTGTGCACAATAAAGACTGTTGGTAAAAAATCCAGCGAGGTTATTTTCTGAGCACTACACTGCCCTGCATAGTATGTCAATGTCACAGGTTTAAAAGTGTCTGTTAAGGGGGTGTGATCATAAAAAGGGAAACTGGATAAAAAGGGGATACAATTTAATAATATATTTACTAAAGGGATCCATAAAAGATGATTAAAAGCCCAGAGTCCGTCCCCACTGTCCTCCGCTCTTCTCACCCGGGACCGGGCCGCAGTTCCGCCAGCCACTAGCCGACCACGGGTCGGCACCGGGCACCCGCGGGGGAGAGCCGGCACATCCCGGTCATCGTTGGGCCTAGCCCGGGCGCGCACGCGCCTTCATGCGCTGTCAATGCGCGCCCCCCTTACCGGTGCCGCTCCCCCCGCTGGCCTCAGTGCACCGTGGTCTCTGGCTGGCGGTGTTCGTCCTCGTCCTCGGCCCGGTCCCGCGTCCTCCTCCTCTCGTCCTCCGTCTCCTTCCTCTCTCTGTGTCTGTCTCTCCCTTGTCCTGTAGTGCCCGCCCCCAATTAAAAGGTCTTGATTAAAAGCAGGTGTGGGTGATTAGGGGAAGTGTCCAAGGAACTGTGATTAAAATCCATGCATTAAAAATATAAAAACACAAAACACATCACACAAATAAAAGCAGTTAAAAGTCCTTGTTAAAAGTTCACTTTCCCACATCAACACTGGTCAACAAATCGATTCAAACACCCGCACACAGTTTTTGACCACCTGTCATAACACATCTACTGATAAAAGCTGTCTTTAAACTGATGTTGCACTTTTCCCTAGACTTTTATTGAACATTACACTTTATTAGGGAGGTGATACACAGCATGCATTGTAATTTAGTCCCACAGTGGGGAAATGTCAGTGTTGCATCACAAGTTAGAGAACAGTAGGAAAGAGGAGCACACGTTAATAGCTGCCCTAATTAAAATAAACCAATCTTCAAATGTAGCATCAATAAGTATTTGAAACTCTGTCTTGAAAAGAGTAAAAGCTTAACATTATAAAGTACTGTGTATTATAGTGCAAGTAGAGTGTGGTTAGGCTAGCAGCAGGATGTTAGCATCTGTACATTAGCAGCAGTATGTTTGCATCATACATAATCATTGTAATCTGTCTAGTTTCCTGTATGGGGTAAAATCTGAATTTGAAACTGTTTTAAACCATTTTAACTATGATCTATACCTGCAGTACATACACTACCCCAATAATCCAAAGTGGCTAGGCACTTATTACCAATTCCAATCAGATGTCATTTAGTGTTTGTATGGCTCAATATAATGTATTGACATTTTTTTTTAACATTCTGTGCCGTATAGGGAGCACTGCACCCACCTGCAGATATGGGAAGCATGTGCTCCTATTCTGACATATCTTTTTAGTTCCTGGTGTCTTTAACTTACATAATACACACCACTTAACTGTACTACTGTCACTTTACATTGTGTGCACCATGTGCACTTGTATATTGTAAATAGTAACTCTTGTGTGTTTATATTTATTATCTCTGACTGTTGCACTGAGCCAAAGCAATTTCCAAGTCTGACTTCCTGTTACTTACGTGGCAAAAGTGATTCGGATTGTGCATACTTCTGTCAATGCAAAATCAGAATACTATCCAGTGTCTGTGTTCCTGAAAGTTAAGTGATAACTATGAATTCTGACGCCAAAGTAAAAACCATTGGCTGTACACCTTTTAGCTGTTCCATGGTAATCAACTTGGTCTCCATTTTGTGTACAGAAACAGAATGAGTGCTATTACCTCCCTTTGATCTGCCTTGATGTGGACAGATATTGAATTATCTATTCACCAAAAACTGTGTTTGACTTCACTCAACGGTTAATTTGTCATTTATATTTGACACTATACAAATATTATACACTCATTGTCTCATAACTAATTTGTGTGATGTGGTGAATAATGACAGTTCTTGTAGGAAAAAAATGTTTTAATAAAAAGTGTATTTGTGCACAAACAAGCCAAAAAAGATTGATAATCAAAAAAAGTGATTTTCAACATAGTGCAAACTCAAATAAGGTGCAAAAAAATGTGCATTTACAGTTCAAGTGTCAATCATCAAGAGCTGCTTCGTAAGCCCGGTCCAAGAAGAACTTGACCAGCCCAAGTTGCTTCTCTCTCGGCACCCTTCGGAGTGCCGCGGCCATTTGGGTACCAAACTGTGCCTCGTCATCGACCGCGGCCAGGAGAGCTTCCTGGGTTGCTTGACGACGCTTTTCCAGTGCCTGCATCTCTTGTATCCACCACGTCTGTCCGTCGAAAGTCTTCCTCTTCACTGAGGAGCGTGGTGGCCTGAGCGAAGACGTGGGGGGCGGAGATTGTACGGGTGTACTGCTCCGTGTAGGCTCACCCACCTGCTCAGAGCCGTCGTCATTCTCCTCCAAAGAGCTGGTAGCCGGTCCCCACAAGGAGCTGGTGGAGGGTCCTGCCAAGGAGCTGACGGAGGGTCCCCTTGAAAAGCTGGTGGAGGGTAACGTGGAGGAGCTGGTGGACAGTGCATCTATGCCATGGGGAAGTGGTCTGTTGGCGGGCTGTTGCACAAACACATAGGAAAAAATGTCAGATTGCACTGTAATTTTCATTACTGCTAGCTTAAAGACAATTTGATGATTTTTTTCCAAAAGGATTTCAGGTCATAAATTAATTAAATTACCGTTGCATGGACAGAATTTGACCTGAATCTAGTATACTTTACTCTGACAGGCAAAGTATTGGCTACACTACAATAGAGCTACATCCCAATCACGTTAACCCGAAGAAAAATACATCATAGTCGTTCTGTAACAACTAAAACTTTAGTATAGTACTCTGATTTTGCATTCGATATTTTGTCTTGAACATTTGTCTGGCGCTGTGACGATGTAAAACCAACTCTACTTCGGTAGTGCTGGTTAGCATGCTGGCTAGCATGGTAGCCAGTATCTCACTTTTTGCCTCTCGAGTAAAACAACAGATTTAAAATAGTTTACCGTCACATTTGTGGAGGTCGGTCGCTCACGGTGCCTCACGTATGGGGTTAACCAGGACAGACTATGAAATAACCCGGGCACTTTCTGTCCGTCGCCGGCATCCCCACTTCGTCCGACCATCTTCTTTTTCAGACGGACAAATTTGTCCCGCACCAGCTTCCACCGTCGTTGGCACTCCGCCACATCCATTCCCAACGTCTGGGAGATTTCACGCCACGAATTTCCGGTCATCTGGGCGTCTTTGTAGTCCCGGGAATTGGCGTCGTAGATATGAACATATCTGCGAACCTCTTCACACAGCCTCTCCTCTACGTGGTCCATGGTGATTTAAAAATGGCGCTCAAAGCGCAGAGCTAGATGCCGCCCAGCAAATACACGTGATCAAACACAGGCCAATCACAGCGGAGCTTCCTTGCGGCGATCCTTACGTAGTTAGAAAATTTCGCTGCTGCGCGGCAGGCGACGTAAGGGCCTTGCGGTGACCAACGCGTTGCGCAAGTGACGTCACGTCACCTCCGTAAGCTCCGCGCGAGTATAACTTAAGCCTAAGAAATCCAGTACTGATAATGAGGAGGAAGAGGAATCCCCTTATCAATATTTACTGTTCACTTTTGAACTAAAAAGTGACTTTGAAAGTTTCATGCAAAACTGTGTGCACGTTAAGAAACTAAAAGTGTTTGCTAAGTTCCAGGTATAATAGTAATTGTAACACTGTCTTTTTTATTGGATGATCAAATTTTTTTTTTTATTGTGTATATTGTGTATCACCGGAATATGCCGTGAGTCGCAAATCGTGCTTGCTCTTTCTGCAAATATGGGCGAGTTCTGCTAATCTCCCGGTCTCCGTGAAGTCCCATACGCTACTGAGCACAAGCCATTCATTTGAATAGGGCGCCATCTTGGATCACCGGGGCTTGAAAGAAGTATTGACACAAACTTAATTTTGATATTTGTTTTCTTCAGTTAGACAGCAAAAAATAATGTCATGTTTAAAGCTGTAATTGTTTCCGTTTTAATAAATACAAAAATCTTACATCATGGTTGTGTTTTTTTCTGTATTATCACATATGGTCCACGCTTTAGATTAGGGTACTGCAAAATAGTGTAATAAGCAGCTTATTAACATATTTATAGGCATATTGTTAGTGGCCTATTAACATGGTATCAATAATAGTTTAATAAGCTGCTTATTAATACATTTATAAACATATTCCTCCTTTAATAAGCATCTTACTAATTACTTATTAAATGCTTAAAAGCATATAAATAGAACAACAATTTGGAGAATAGTGAAATGAGCAGGTTTTTAATGTTTATAAGCACATACAAGCAAATTGTAAACATGTTACTAACAAGCTTAAAATTGTAAGCATGTTACTAATGCCGGGGTGACAGTGGCTCAGTTGGTAGAGCATTGGCCTTCAGGCCTGAAGGTCGTGGGTTCAATTCCCACCTCCACACCTTCTCCACCAACTCCCACTGATGACTGCTGCCGTTGTGTCCTTGGGCAAGACACTTAACCCCACTTTGCCCAAAAAGCCCCCACTGAAAGATCAAGGCTATGCTCACACTCAGAGAGCAGCCGTCCTCCTGTGGACTCACCACCTGCAGAGGGTCAGTGAGGGGCTGGTGCTATGAGACTTGGGTGGCATCTCTGATTGCCACCCCCCTGACCCAGAAATGGATTAAAGGGTAGAAAATGGATGGATGGATGGATGGATGTTACTAATGCCTATTAATACCTTATTAATACTTAACAAGCACACCTCAATATAAAGCGTTACCTCTTTATTTACAAAACTTCAACAAGTCCCACACACACTAATGTCTAAGGTTTGGAAGTGCTTTGGAAAAGGGAACTCCCAGGAAGCTGCAGGAGCTTATAGGCGGGGCCCAAAACAACACATGTAAAACACATGTGACACTTTATACCTTTATACTTTCATAAACACATTTATAAACATTTGACCCACTCACACATCCTCACAGTTTCAGTCTGGACTCTTCCTTTTCTGGTACTTGGTCTTACTCATAGTAATGTCACTGGTGACACATGTGTATCCATAGCAACATACATGTTACATAACAAGTGACATCATTTTACAGTAATTAACCTGAAATTAACACAATATCTGCAGCAAACAATAAAATACTGAGATTAAAACCATCAATAGTTAAACGCAGGTTTGCATTCTTCATTTCTGGAGCTAAATCATTCACATAAATTGCAGATAAAGTTGGAGAGAAGACAAACAGCCTCAGATCATTCACTGCTCACAGGCGAACAGAGCCTTGTGAAGGGATTTTATACATTTATACAAATATCCAGTAATGCTACATTTAATTCATTTTTATTCCAGAAACTGTTTATCCAAAGGCTTCAATCATCAAAACAAAGTAGTTTAGTTTTGCTGCAGTCTGGCTCGCACCACAGAGGACAGAACATAGATGTGCTCAATGCTCTGTTCTTCCTAAATCCATTCTGCTCATCGACCAATATCTGATGTTGTTGAATGTTTAGATCCAGAAAACAATGATTCTACTGCACTTATCAGGCTGCTTCCTCTGCTTCAGTGGATTCTCTGCTGGAGAAGATTTGGGGATAGGCTTCATGCTCACCCTCGCCGCCCTTCTTCCCTGAACGTGTTTTATCACAAACACAGAAGGAAAATCCAGCCACAGACGACAAAAGGACTAAGACAAGCTGCAAGAAGAAAACACACTTTATCCAGCATTCAAAAAGAAAAGAAGTGAGGAATCTGAAACAGCAAACACAAATATAAACATACATGAACAACATGATTGGGACGTGTCATAAACAACACGACTGTTGGCTCTTGGAGGAAACAAGGAAGTAGAGGAAAGGCCTGTGGAAGGAAGTGAACACTGTCCTCAATAAAGCATCAGAAGACAGACTCTGCCTCAATACTGTGGAAGTCATGGAGCAGAAATAACACACATGAAAGAACTAAACTACTGCTTTATCCATGTGGGGCCAGAGCTGCATCAACCATTCAAAACAACAACAACTCTCACAGGTTCTGAGTCCAACACTGAAAAAGAAGTCCTAGACATTGTTCAAAGCATGAAAACAAAAAGGTCACAAGATCGAGACGATGAGTTTGACGTCTGCACGACCAAAGAAGTCATCAGTGACATTTCCCGGCCCTTAACTCATATATTTAAGCTAACGTTCTCTACTGGATCATTCCCATGTCTAATGACAAGTGCAGAAGTCAGACTCATTCACAAACCAGGAGACGAACTGCTCTAACTAGAGCCCAACTCTATCTTGAAAAACACAACATCCTAACAATCAATATGGATTTAGAAAGGACAAATCAACTGAACTTGCATTATTGTCTGGACTAGTTTTCCTCCTTTGATCTTCCTTCATGGTCCCAAACAGACGACATATTTGTATTCATCAGTTCATTTCTTTGAATGAGGGCAGTACATATGAATGTGTCAGAAACAGCTTCAACATTAAGATGCTGGAATTAGCACAAAAGCTAAAATACATCCTTTGTCCTAAAGCGGCAGAAGAAACACATGTTTAATATATATGCTCTGTATGTTCATGGGGAGGCTGCACCTTTTTACTTCTTTCTCCATTTAGAGCCCACCACTTGGAAACACAAATACATTTGTACAAACACATTGATATTGTAAATATACTAAAACACCATTTAGGCAACATGACATGTATAAGTCAATATTCTGTACTATAACAGAGTGGGGACATTTTTTTTCTGAACTAAACTGCAGATCAAACCTCTGTCTCCTTCTACATCACGTCACTTTGAATCTTACAGCTAATTTCCACAGTAGGCGTTAACGGCGCGTAAGCGTTTACTGCGCGCATATGCACTGTATCCAACAGATCAGTGAGTGGATGCAAAACAACTTCCTTCAGCTAAACGCAGACAAAACTGAAATGATTGTCTTTGGTCCCCAGAAACAAAGAGAGAGCGTCATCTGTCACCTCCAGTCTCTCTCCCTAAAACCTTCAAACAAGGTCAGAAATCTAGGGGTAATACTGGACTCAGACTTAAATTTTAATAGCCACATTAAATCAGTAACATCAGCAGCTTTTTACCATCTAAAAAACATTGCCAGGATCAAAAACATAGTGTCTAAAGCAGACCTGGAGATTCTTATCCATGCATTTGTCTCCAGTAGGTTAGACTACTGCAATGGCCTGCTCACAGGTCTGTCCAAACAGGCTGTAAAACAGCTGCAGTACATTCAAAATGCAGCAGCTCGAGTCCTGACTAGAACCAGGAAGTACGACCACATTAGTCCTGACTAGAACCAGGAAGTACGACCACATTAGTCCTGACTAGAACCAGGAAGTACGACCACATTAGTCCAGTCCTCAGGTCTCTGCACTGGCTTCCTGTGGCTCAGAGAATAGACTTTAAAACAGCTCTGCTTGTTACAAGTCTCTCCATGGCCTCGCACCAAAATATATTAGTGACATGTTAGTCCCATATGAACCAGCCCGGACTCTGAGGAGCACAGGGACTGGACTCCTGTTAGTGCCCAGAGTCAGAACTAAACATGGGGAGGCTGCTTTTCAGATTCATGCTGCTAAAATCTGGAACAATCTTCCTGAAGATGTGAGACAGGCCTCCTCTCTGACAATGTTTAAAACCAGGTTAAAGACAGTTCTGTTTAGCTGTGCATACAACTGAGGGATTTTTATATTTTTATCTTTATTTTTATGTTCTGTGATTATTTATGATTTTAATGCTTTCTTGTTTTGTTCAGCACTTTGAATTCATGCCTTGTGAATGAATTGTGCTATATAAATAAACTTGCCTTGCCTTATGCGCACATACTCTGCTGTATCTACACTGGCCGTGCGTTATTTATAAAATAAACCAGTGTAACTGAAAAACTGAATAATTTAGTAATATTTATGACTGATATTCATGTTTTATTAAATACATATTTAAATGTGGGGTACAGGTGGAAAACACAAACACACAGAGACACTACAGAGAAACTAAAATAATCCAAAATAGAGGATTACAGACCGTGGGCCATAACAAAGTGTTTATGTTTCATACGATCAGATTTGCAGCTTTTTAAAGGTTATTTAGGGGACTGTTTCTACCAATTGAAAATGCAATATGTTATAATAATTGGTCTATATTAGGGCTGTCAAAATCATCCCGTTAACTCACGTTAATTACTTTTTTCATTAATGCATTAAAAAAATTAACGCTTTAACGCATGTCTGAATGAACTGACCATGTTTCCCATAATATCACTCAGAATGCTGCGGACACATGCGTGTGTGAGATGGCGACAGA